CTGACTTTCCGAACACGGTGTTGGGGTCTTCATTGGGACACCGCAGAACATGGCTGAGCCGTTAGATACACCGCTGTTGCAACAATGTGGGAAGTCATTCGATCTAACAGTAGCACTGACGGACTCTCCTTGTGCAGTGATCGGAGACTGCGAGTCTTGGGTTTCTGTGGTTACGTGTAAATGGGGTAAGCGGAAAATCAAAGAGCTTTCTGGTGACACAAAGATACCGGGAAAATTGGCGGGGGTAGGAATGGAAGTTTGAACTCACGACCGGTAGGGTGATGTATTGCTAACCGTAAGCGTTGACGACTGCCGCCCTATTGTCCTACAGGGAACGCACAGTAAGACACTGACTTGCCGTGTCGAGGAGAGTTCTGGCGTTCCACCGATCAATGTGAATGGGTTCCAGTGTCAATCTTTTCCGCTAGATTCTCGAAAACCACGAGAGATTACGGAGAGAACACAGAACTCATCGCCTCTCCATGTGTGCGCTTCATTAAGTCAAATTTCCTGGAGTGTCTTGGAATTGAATGCGAAATGCTTTCTACAGCATCGTTCGGGTGCGTATCCAGTTACGTATATCAGGTCAATGGGATTGTACGGTTGTTGTCAGCCCTTAACTCCGGTGTATGGTTCTTGAACCATTCGCGTTGATTAGCGATCCCGAACTAGTAACTGGAACCTTGGTGGTTGTTCTGTTCTCGAGATTTTTCCTGTTGCTCATGGTGGGCACGGGGTTTTGACCTCATATAATGTCGGACAATAGTCGGTGACGTCACCTTGTTGTCAGCATCATCATCACTAACCAGGCGATCATATGCCACGTCCCCGAACACCACCGTTTTTCGTTCGCTACCCGTTTGTTGCTGATGTAAAATTCAGTCTTTCTCGGTTCACCACCGGGTTGGCGATTATCGGACTTGTCCGTTAGCATTCAGATATGATTTTATTTTCAACACATGATGCTGATGTATGTTACGTCTAAGTCTATAAAATAAGCTACAATTCCATACTTGCTGGATGCAGTGCGAAGTTTGAACTAATTCCTTAATGCAGTTTCTGTGATATCACATTTTCAGGCGTTCGGAGCCAAGTATTGCATGATCTCTCCCCGTATAAACATTATCCATCAAATGTCTTTTTCACATTTCAGGATGATCCGGACGCGGATGATGTAGTCCCAATGCAACAATCCGCCCCACCGTTTGATCCCACCCCGTTCGATCAGTCCAGCTACTATGGTGGTGGTTCTGTTCCCGGTTCAGTCCCGTTTCCGACTGGTGTAGCCGTGCCCCAACAACAGCCTGTCGCTGGTCGAGCCTATTGATGATCAAGGATCCAAAGTTTACGAGAGCATTTCCGCACATACGCAGACCAATCAAAGTGGGAGGTGAAGAACACTGGACGTTTTCGCGCGAGCGCTGTCCGGCTGGTTCGATGTGCTGTCACACAGTCTTGCGCATCTGTTGCTTTCATATTCTCAATCTCCCCGTCCGCTGTATCCTAATAACTAACTACTCTGTTGCACATCGTCCGAGGCACTCTTCCACCGCGTAGTTCATTCCATTGGATGCATTGTGATGCAATTCCCTCTTTTTTCTCTCTCCCTCTGTCTCGTGAAACCACTCCAGGGCTTTGGACATGTAATTTCAGGCAATCTGGTTTGCTCTAGTGATCATGTGTGTGTGTGTGTGTTGCTCATTGGCGCGCAACGCAGCATATTTGCCTTTGTGCGTCAATGGGCATTTTCTGATTCCCCATGACAATCATGCTAGTTTCTCGAGCACGTACGCACACGCGTTATTGTGATCTCCCAGACTGTTTATTATTATTATTTATCTATCGCGCTCCCCCCCCACTCCCACCTTGGATGATGCCTTTGATGTGCACTTTCTTCTCCACCACTGCATTTAGTCACCAACCTATCTATATCACATCCTCTACCCACATTCCACTAACTTGTCCAGTGTCCGCATTTTTTGTGTGTATGTGCAATATCTATCACTTGTTTAGTTCTTTTCATGAGTGATAGTACCAACATTCCTTTATTCTTTTTGGTTTTTCTTTTCCCTTATTTTTTCCCCCTACTTCTCCATTTGGTCCCTCGTTTGACTTATCCTTTTTGATTGCTTCGGTTACCACCGAAAGCTCACATATGGCAATTAATATTATACTTGAATAAATCTTTACATTCGATACTCTGAGTTACTACTTATGAGCGCGCCAGGGTCCGCGGTAATGAATCGCGCATTTTTCAGTTGTGTTCAGTAGTTCGACGTTGCACACACACACACACACACACATATATATATATATATATATATTACACCGGCTTGAGAACAAGTATGGTGCCAATAGAAAACAATGATAACGAAGTTGTGCAGGGGTACAGAAAGATTGAATGAAAATGCGGGAAACAGAGAACACGGAGAATGAACGAACGAATGAATGAAAGATTTTTTTATAGTTTCACCGTACACTTTTTTAAGACTTGTGTGTGTTATGGGGCATGGGGTTTCACCAAACAAACCCCACAGCAATCACACCACTGACATCTGTTCTCAGTCATATTTCCCAGCATCTCTAGCCAATCCTCGTTCCTTGAGTCCCAGCCTGGAAGGCAAGCGGCACCAACCGAAGCCAATGCTGAGACTAACTTCTTCGGACCTCTACGCCATGTCATGGTCTGACCGCCGCGGCGCTTCTTTCAACCTTGCCCAGCGCGTGCAAAGAGAGCACGGCGATGTAGTCGATGGACAGGCATACGCAAAACATGATCGAGTCATCAGAGGCGGTGTAGAACGATTTCTTCCGTTATAGAACAACTATCAAAATCCAGCACACGACGACAAATTTTGTCATCGCTCCCCCGATGTTCCCACCCGACACGAGCAGTGCTTCGAAGGCATCGGTGGTCGAATATGGAGAGTCAGTTAGCATCTTCCACTCGGAAAGGCCTCGCAACCGTAAAGCAGAACACTACGGACCGCGGCCATGGGACGTGTGTCGGAGTAGCTGATGCTGGTGGTCAGGTCGACGTTGCCTACTAGCCGATTATTTTTGAGCCTATAAAGTGCTCGTATGCCAGTTTTAGTCACTGATATGATTTTGGTTTTGAGGTTCGAGTATTGAACCTTGTCATAGCCACGCAACTTTGGCAGCAGCGAGCTTTGTCCCACGGTCCATCACATTGGAGCCTTAGGTGGTTCACTACTCCCTGGAGTGTGTAGGTCTTCATGGATGAATGGTTACCTCAGGATCATTGCAATCATTGCAACGCTTGCAGACATCAAGTGACGTGGATGAGTTTTGTAAACAGTGGGACTGATGCATCTACTGATATATATTTGATAATAAGTAGTATGTGAATGACTAGATAAAATACCTCTGGGTGCACACAACCGGTTTCGTGGTTCTTACCGCTCGTCAGGCATGCGTATCCGGTAATCTTTTGTCAGTTCATTCATATACTTGTACCCAGGAAGTGTATTTTCGTTACAATAACCATCTTTGCAACACCGGGTAACCATTGGATAGATAGCTCTTTCAGAGCCAGTCCAGTGAAGAATCAATGCTATGATTCAATGTTTTGTAAGTGGGTTCGATGCTACTAACCGCAACAAACGTGACCTCATGGTCTTGGTAGAATATTTGATGATAAGCGGTATGTGAATGACTGTATGAACTGACAAAAGAATACGCAGGCTTGATGAGCGGCAAGAACCGCGAAACCGGTTGCGTGCATCCAGAGGAATTTTAACTAGCCATTCACATACTACTTATTATCAAATATTCCACCAAGACCATGAAGTCACGTTTGCTGCGGTTAGTAGCATCTAACCCACTCACAAAAATCGAATCATAGCATTGATTCTTCAATGGGCTGGCTCTGAAAGAGCTATCTATCCAATGGTCACCCGATGTTGCAAACAAGGTTATTGTTGTTATATATGTCATACCAGCCTTTACGGATACGGCGCCAAATAACTTCGGGTTTAATTTGAAATATAGAAACAGAAGGGGAAAAGAGAAAAATAGTTAACTTTAAGAATAACAAACTTTTGTTTGTTTACTGCGGACCATTTTTAATTTTTCGGGTCGCCCACATAAAAAGATACATTCACGCCACTGAATTCGTTTCGCTACCTTATCCCCCGCTGTCTCCAGTCAAAGATTATCTGAATCTTTGTGGCCCCAACCGGGAAGCCCCGATTGAAGTCAGATCCATGCACAATCTTAAAACTTCTACGTCACGTCATAGCCCGTCCGCCTCAATGTTCCTTGCAGCCCGGACCAATATCCGCAAATAGCGCACGGTATGCCAGACGTTGCGCAGGCATTCGTAGGACATGGCCCAGCCACCTAAGAGGATGCAATGAAATTGTTTTACTCAATGGAAAACTATCGGAACATAGCACATATCGTTTGACCTTATCTTTATTCACGCGATGCTCCCACAATACGCGGGCGATGTAGCGCAGACAACGGTTGTCGAAGACGGATAGTCGTTGGGCACGATCTGCTCGGAGGCCAGGTCTCACAGACAGTCAGCAACACGGCGCGTACCGTTGCGTAATACGCACGCCCTTCCAGTGATAGGGATATGTCACGCCGGCACCAGAGATGCTGCAAATTAGCGAACGCTAATCTAGCTTTGATTACACGTTCAGAGATCTCCTCGCCCACACCTCCGGTAGCTGTTACGCAACTCCCGAAATAGACAACTTCCAGAGTGTGGTTAACCAACGAAAATGCAGCAACAGGTTCCTGCCAATTTTGCAACAACACCTTGCACTTTGAAGGCACGGAAGACATACAATAACGAGTAACAACAATTACCAAACGATTCAGTGAAACTAAGTGTCCTTGCGTTGTCACCCAGTAGGGCAATATCATCAGCTTATTATAAGTTTACGACTCTGTCTCAAGGAAGAAGCTGGACGCCAGCGTTCGTTACGTTGAGTAACGCGTTTTGTAGAACATCATCTATAGCAACGTTGAAGAAAAACAGAATGATAAGACAACTCTGTCTTACTCCTCCAGTGACGGGATGAGGGTGAAAGTCCACCATAGGCCCTAAACTTCCCCGTGGTTCGGTGGTAGTTTTTAGAAGCAGGACATACTTCTCGGGCACTCCCTATTTCCACAAACAGTGCTGGTGATCGATGGAATTGAAGGCCGCGCTGATTTCCAAAAACACAACTGTAGTTTGTTGTCTGTGTGTGTGTGCGGCGGTACTCTAGTGATGTGAGATACTACTCATTTGTGAGTAGTAGGTAACTTTCAATGATCAAAAATATAGCAAGACCACCGAGGGCCAAGTGGTGTATGAAAGAATAACTACCAACTACCCTACATATTACCCGATGTGCTACCAGGAACAGCGATTATATGTTTCTGATGAGATGTTTTGTGTTATGCATGGCAAATTGGTGATATTCCATCGGAAACACCTCAATAAACGATTGTCCTCGACCAGCACCGCCTTGTGGAATTATAACACTAGTATAGTAGCTGACGAAGGATAGAGATTTGATCTATGCAACCACGACGTGCACGAAACCCGGTCTGCTCATCACGGATTGAACTTTTGCGATTTAAGACCTTTGCTCGTATGATTGGAACAGGTGTTGTGACAGCCCTTCTTGTAGATGAGTTTACCGATTGATTCTCCCCCATGTGCATCTACTTATTATAATTGCAATCCTAGTTTACAGAAATTCTCCATTTACTCTTGGACTCTACTTTCAACTTCCATCCAAATAGCCAAAAGCTTGTAACCGAAACCGGTGCACGAAATTGCATGGCAGATGGTTGTACAAACCTCAGCTGCTGTCCATCAAACACAGCGTGTTTCCCCATTGTTCTTTTCAATGTATGTCAAACAACTTCCCATTCCTCCTGCATTCATTGGCTGTAAATACGCAGATTAAGTTGTTTTAGGCTGCAAAGCATTCACCCCTGACGGGGCTTCAGAAATTCAAAGCAAGCTAAACGACGTTGTTGCTTGGTCGCTGTCCCGTTCCCTCTCATTGAATACATCTAAATGCCAGGATGTTGTGTTTTCCCTCTTGGCCGATGTACCACATTCAGCCCTCACAGATAGGTTCCCCAACCTCTCTGCCAATCGACAATAGTAAAATACCTTGACGTTACCTTATCACACAATTTATCATGGTCACTGCATGTTCAAAACACATTCTGTAAAGTTAGAAAGCTTTCACATTTCTCACTCCGATTGAGATTACTTCCTGGTCCCCATAAGCTGATCGTTAGGTTTGTGAATGCATACGTGCTACCTCACTGGTTGTATTGCTCCTCAGTGATGTTAAAGAAAGACTTTTATTTACTGGCGAGATCTCTGAAACACATCTCTAAATGTAGCGGCATCGTCAAGAATAAACTCACTGATTCTATCATAGACACACTTACAAGCACGCGAAAGTTTCACTGACAAAATTACTCTCAATCAACTACCACCCATTACACAACGAATTTTCAAAAGCTGTATCTACATCATCCACACACTCAAGATTTATTGGCTCGTACCTCTGCTTATGGTAATTGTTTTTTGCCATATCCAGCAGGTCTACTTATTGACAAAGAGAAAATTTCCACAGAATTGGGCATATGCTTGCTTCATCGACAAACACAATCTACTGCTTTCAGTTTCATTGTTTCATTATTTTGTAAATTTGAATTCCCAAATATGCTGAAAATTCACCCATCCGGGTGCATAAAGCTACTACTATTTCCGTACTGAATAATTGCTCACTTAACATTATGATGTAAATTGGGNTTTTATTTACTGGCGAGATCTCTGAAACACATCTCTAAATGTAGCGGCATCGTCAAGAATAAACTCACCGATTCTATCATAGACACTTACAGGCATGCGAAAGTTTCACTGCCAAAATTACTCTCAAACAACTACCACCCATTACACAACGAATTTTCAAAAGCTTTATCTACATCATCCACACGCTCAAGATATAAACTCTTACTTGCATGTAACTCTTCTTATCTCAATTCTGTTCTGCCGTATCTAGCACATCTACTTATTGACAAGGAGAAAATTTCCACAAAATTGCGTAAATGCTTGCTTCATTGACAAACACAATCTACTGCTTTCAGTTTCATAATGTAATGATTTTGTAAATTTGAATTCACAAATATGGTGTTTAAATGTTGAAAATTCACCCATCCGCGTGGATAAAGCTACTAATGACTTGAGAAAAAGTGAACTGCTTAATTTCAAATCTTGTATCCCAACGAACTGATTCGTAATCTTGTTCCGAAAAACAGCGCCAACAAGAGTTCCAATGAGTGTGATTTCACACAGCCGGAAGCTCTAGTCTGATGTTAGTCGCTTGGTCTAAATCTCTGTCTGTCACAGAGTGACGAATACGACAGTACATTCATCACTTGGTCAGTGTTGGTGAGTTTATGTGGTGATGACACCTACCCTGGAGCGGCGCGTTGCAGTTTCTGGACACCTGCGATCAATCAAATTTGAAAGGTGACGTCAATGACACGCGTACGCGTCACGGCTTCTGACTACACGCCATAGGCAGGTTGTCAGCCAATCCGAGACAGTGCAGACAGAAGCAGGATTATGCAAGCAGTACCGCAATACGATTGGTGGAAGCCTAAATAACCAATGCTCTTTTTTGTACATATTATTTAATCGCCTTCATTGCTTCCAATAAACGAACTACGAGCCACTATTCCTGTGGCCTTTTCCTCGCGTCTCGTTCGCGTGGGATATTCCAAGCTCGTACCATTGCGGTCCAGTGCTTCCGTAATNGTCTGTGATAGCTGATCCTAGATTCGTGTCCTGTGATTCCTATTGCGTGGTTCGTGTTCCAAATTCCGTGCGTACTACTACTGCAATCATTACAACTGGGTTGATTCAGCTTCGGACCAACCATCACCTCGTAGGACGTGTGTTTGAATCCCACCATCACTTGTCTTTCCCCATTATGTGTGTTGTATGGCAGCCCTTGGATTGGCCGTTGCCCCCTACTTGAGAATTGTATTTTTGTATATTCAATAAGAAAGGAAGTAAAATGAAAATGAACATGCGTTGTTAGCTCGGGGGCGTGTGTGAATAATGCAGGTCACAGCACGCGCTCCGAGAGGTTGAAGAACCTTCATGTTGAATGGTGATCATCACCACAGACATTCATTATCACAATTTGTTCCATAAAAATATATGCTTTTTCCAAATTATTCATTAGTCTGAAACAGACAAAGTGACCACAAAATGAGAGAAAATAGACTGATTAAGCAAAATGGAAAGTGGAGTCAAGTTCCAGTGCGTTCTCAACATAACATCCGGACTGTCGCCTGTGAAACGATTCGGTCCCCCGAGATCAGATGTCTTTGGATGCAAGAGGACCAAACTCTAACTCACAAAACCGTGAAGTGGTGTTTCAAAATCTCAATCCATAAGGAGTCGTTATTGAATTGATCGAACCAGTGGCCATTTGAAAGAAACTCCCACGTCGTTTCTTCTCTTCTTTCGTAATCGAACCGGTGACTGTGATTGAGTAACTCTCACAGTACAATGATGGGCGTACTTTGAAATCCGGGTCTACTACCCAACCGTCAGCCTTAGACAAGATAACCAGCTTGATAATTCATCAATCGGACTATAAGATCGGGGTAGGATGACCTTGCGAAACGTTCCACACTGAACTGAATGCACGGGTGAAGTCTTTTTGAATTGAGCCTGAGTCGTGTACATGTTTCCTCACTGGATCTTTGGGTTCATGGTTATTCTTGTATGTTCCCAGTCCTTCAGACTACTTGGAAGCCTCTCCACGGAGAACCTACTGTTGGGAATGTGTCCTACCTGTGTGTGCATTGAGAACGTCAGTGAGTGATCGGGAATTCTGCGGTCATTTGGAACGAGACTTGGACAATAAGAACTCGGACTGCATTGCCCGGAGTCAGTGTATTTCGAGTGGATTCGGAGCGGGGTTGTCGGTCCGGCATACTAAAACAACAAAGAGGAACGAAATCGGGTGTATTTAATTTTTCCCCATTGTCAAAGTTAAGAAAACAATACTGAATTTGGTATGATAAAAAGTTAAAAGGACACTGGTGTTTTTTGAGAGGGAAGGGATGAGGTCAATGGTAGTTCATGCAATGTATGTGTGTGTTTGTGGACGAGAGGGAATCGAAAGAGCGAAAATATTCAGTTGTCTCCACGAGAACACTCGGAATTGATAGCCTATAGTGGGGATAGGAAGAAATAAGCGATATTTGAGATAAAGTTATTTGTCACAGTGAAAAATCGACACAAATTTCGCAAACAACTATCTATCACGTGACCGAATGTCAGTCCAACAGGTTTTGACGCAACCGAGCGATCCAGGGTCAGACGGAAGCATACATGCACGCATGTAAACACAGGGTAATCGGACTAGAAATAAAATTGGGGATAGAGAATAATTTCTCTCATCAAGCCACCGGAAGCAGCACGACCGGGAATTCCAAATTTTGCCGATACGCTCGCGCTCGACGTGCGTCGCGCACATCCACAGGAGTATCGGCTATGCCGAAATGTATGATTAGACCGGTCGCGACCAGAGCATGCTCGAGCAACAGATAGAGCAGACTTGGACTGATTGTGCTCAGATCGAAATGGGCCACAGTCAGACCGGAAATCCATAAGCCCACATTGGTCAAAATGGACAGCCATGCCTGTGCGGCCAGCAGAGCTAGCCAGATAGAGGTTTGACGAACGAGCAAACGCGGTGTGGGACGTTGGGTGATCCACATCAGTTTGAACGCGTCGAAATGAGACTCGAGCACGGTGGAGATGAGAGCAATCGGGGCGGCCAATGAGGGAGAGACGAAAGCGAACACGGCCAGATAACCGTGTAACAATATCATTTCCAGATAGTCATCAAACGGCTCATACGGATCGGCACAAGCATCTCGATCCAGACTAATGGGCGGAGAGTCTGGTGAGTCAGACGTGTCTGCGTCCTGTTCCCGTTTGCGTTGACCGGTGGCTCGACGATGCAATCGTACACGGAGCCGGTATTGGATCAGTGGGATTAAGCACTCAAGGATCAGGCGTCTGACACTGTCAGTCATGAGCATGGTGAGTAGCAGGGAACGCAAAGCATCTCGATCGGCCAGCACAAAACCGAGATAGGCCAAACAACCGTAGGCGTCGATCATTTCGAAAAGAAAGCGCTTGATGATAACTGCCCGGTCATGGGATTCGACGGTCTGCAAATAGATTTTGGTTTTCAGGAAAGAGGATTGAGGAAAATAGTCGGATAGTTTCACAATGCACCATGTATCTTGAAACTTGACGATCGTATTGTAGCCAAGGTGTATTATTAATAAATGAAAAAAAGGCTACGTATAATGAGTTGCATCTTACCGGGGGTGCCTGTTGTGGCCTAACACGTGACTGGTACGTTTGTCAGGCTTGGATTGATTGACTGAGTGACAAATACTGTCAGATAGCACTCACGCCATGCTGACTGACTCTACTACAATATCGATCGGCTCCAGCCAATCAGATATTAGTGTTGAACTGTTCACAGGCCGATTGATTGGTTGACTGTTTGAACGCCGGCTTGACCACATTCAGCTGTCGTGTCACGCACGCAGTTGCTGGCCTTCCTACGTGTCGCCCCGCTCCTACCGGCTTACCGGCCTATGAACCGGTTACATGTGTTCCCTCTACAATAAACGTACTACACAACTGACTGCGTGCTGATTTACTTACTAGAACGGAATACAACAGGGCCCACGTGTAGAGATATGTACAAAAATATTAAATTCGGGAATTCACAAAAAAGACAGAATTATCTGCATAAACGTTTGTGTAGATAGTGAACCTTGTGTCACCAATTAGGTTAACGAATNAATACATGAATCTGAAAATAAAACCCATTTCATTTAATTTGATTCGAATGAACAGTACTGTGTAAATCGTAAAAGAAACAACGGCGAAACACTTAAACGAGAAAGCTGATGTGGAAGACCCCGAATGTCAGCACCTTACCACATGTAGTTAGAATATCTTTTAGCGGTAAAAATAAGCAAATGTGAATAGGCACAAACTACGAATCCGTGTAAACTAAACTGAGAATATCTGTGTGGAATTACGGTTGCCATGAATAAACACGTCTGTCGACCATGTCACCCAGGAGGACGGGATTCCAGTCCTAACCGTCAAAAAGGATAACGGTTCGAGTCAAGTCAGGCAAGTAGGCAAACACCGCTGACAAAATCCCCCAAACAGGGTCGAAATATTTGCCTAGTGTTCTTCGTCGTCTATGGCACACAACGTTATTTAAAAAAAACAACATCTTATTAAGAAACGAGATCCACATCAAACGATCAGTACACATCCACAATTAGCATGGGATAAATCAAGAATAGCCTTAATTTGGTACAACCTATCTATCTTTTCGTGAGTGACCGGTCATGAAAGATAGCACCTGTTTATCATCAGAATCATCCACCATGCGGCGGAATGCAGTGAAGTGAACTTCACTGATCGCTACCGAATTCACAATGCAAACAAGATAAGTATGAATCTATAAGGTGGACAGGGAATTGGCGTTTTTCCAGGGGGGGGGGGG